ACATAGTCTCCCTGAACACAAGACCAAGTTGCGACAACGAGGTCAACTCACTGACCTGTTTAATGTCCCGCTAGGATTGCTGATAAGACCTAGGCGAGATCGAAACTGCAATCAATTCCTGCATAGATGGGAATAACTTTTGGGAAAGCAAGGCTATGTGAAATTCAATGGAAAAGTAGGGTCATTGTGGGAAATTCCAAATATTAGTATCCTTTTCACTCTAAATGTTATAGGATGCATATATCTTATATATATACGCTTTACAGGTAGTCTCGAAAGCCTACTTATAAACGCAAATACTCTGAGAATACCAGGTCCATAAAAGTCCATTATTCCGCAGGCTATTTAAGAAGTAATTGGTCTGGATTCTAGATTTCATTTTATTCAAAATGATTTGCGAAAAGTGATAGCCATAGGAAGAGAGACAAAGTAAACAAGCAGGTGTGCTAGTGCCCCAGTAAACTCCCCATGAAGGGCAGACTAGAGTAGTCGAGTGAAAACACGTAAGAAGTTAAGTACAATTGATATGAAGACTTTCATTTCGTATGAAAGTACATGATGAAGAGACTCGTAGATGAATTTCATCAGCCAACGTCTTATGGTGAGATTGACTTACGAATCTCTCCATCATATACCTCCGTAGAAAAATGAAAAGCTTCACATCAAGCTTAGCTCAGGAGATTTTTCGAAACCCTCATTTTCTTCGTTTAGTTAAATACAATGCTGGGGGTAGGTAGTTGTACCAGGGCAGAAGACGCGATATTACAACGGTTTGCCAGCTAGTTGGGCCATGTATTGAGTTCGCTTGTATCTTTGACGAGTTTTAGCTTGGTACAAAAAATGGCAAGATGCATTGGCGTTGCCGACTACGATGCCGGCGAAACGTGTGAGAATGTACCACGTGCACGGTCCGACTCTGGAAATAATTATGCATACTATGGAATCCAGGCAAGGTGCGACAAGGTCTTCCTGCCAATATGACCAAGTTGCGAAACCGAGGTAAAACAGCTTCTATAACACTACATCTTGGTCTTCACACCTAAAGTCCCCTTGGAAACAGTAGCAGAAACAGAACGCATGTCTCTAACGCATAATTCTGCCGTAGAACTGGCCTACCCAAGGTACATGCATACGGCTTGCATCATGTTAAGCTAACCTGTTTGCTCACTTTCGGTTTTTGTCATGGCAGAAAAGAGTCCGTGTCCACCGACTGTGGACAAGCCTTGAGGCCAGAGTATTGACACCGCATGACGGGCCGCCTCGAGGTTGAGCCGCGAGGGTGGCCGAGCTCGGCGTCGGAGTCGGAGTCGGAGTCCGGCTCGGGGCCGTGGTTGTGGCACTGGTGCAGGCGAGGAGTGGGCCAAATCTGCGGGAGGCAGAGGAGGCCGTATCGTGGACGGCCCGTGACTAGCTCGGGGATACACCTCAGGTGGGCTGGGCACCGGTTGTGAGGCGCGGCTGCTCGTCGGGGTCTTCGGCAAGTGCGAGCTATCCGGAGAGGCGGCGAAGAGGGGCCCGACTCCGTCCAGCCATCGGTTGAGTACACCAGCCTCGTCGGAGTCGGTGAGGAGCAAGTTTGCGAACCTCTGAGTCACCCGAGGGGGGGAGCAGAGTGGAGAAGGGAGACAGTGAAGCAGAGGCTGAGAGAAGAGAAGAGAAGAGAAGAGAAAGGAGAGAACCGGCTGCCGAATTGGCCGGCTCGCTGTAGCACCACGACGAGTTGTGGAGAATGAGAATAGGTGACAATCCAAACCGACTCCAACAACCTCAACGAAGAGAGGCAGTTTTGGAGGAGAAGTCTCCACCACTCCACTCCATCCAGTACAAAACAGTACACTCGCCTAGAGCCGGGCAGTCAGAGCGAATTCGAGTCCCTGAAGGAGACGAAGAGCTCGGCAAGTGTGTCAACCGGTATCTACCGCGGACACGAGAAGTCAGGCGTTGGGACGAAGCGAAATTACGAATAAGGCATGTCGGGCCGACCAGGCAGACCAGGCAGACCAGGGGAACTCTGCTCCCCCAGACATGGATACATCGATCACGCGTTGTCGGGGTAAATCAATAGCAGGACAGCAGACAGGGAGTCTGCCTGCTGCTGCGGGAGACGAAGGGTCGACCAGCGAATCAGGGCGATGCCCAAGCCAGGCAGGCCAGCAGACCTCGTCGGCCTAGCATTGGCACTGGCCTGGCAACCGGCGTTGTGGCGGTCATGGGAAAACCGAATGGTATGAGTCTATCGCTTGTTGGAGATGGACTGGGGGTGCTAGGCGAGATAACCAAGCCGAGAATGAGGCAATTCATGCGGAGGAAGACCGAGCAAAGGGGGCGAAAGAAGCGATGGAGCAAAAGGGGATGGGGGATGGGGCCAGAAATGAAAATCCAGAGACAAAGCGAGATAGAACGAGCAAGAGAGAGGTAGGAGAGGAGGAGGAGGATGAGAGAGGTGAGAGAGAATGAGTAAGAGAGTGATGAGAGAGCACGCGCAGGGGAGAAGTGGGAGAGGACGAGTATGAGAAGTTGAGGGCAGTTGACGGGCCGACCGGTCGCGCAGGTCAGGCTCCCGCCTCGGCTACTCGCCTCGAGTCGAGTTGGCGGACTCGAGCCAACGGACCAACGGCGAATGGGGCGGTCCTCGTGTTGGCCGAAGTTGTTCCCGTCTGTGCGTGCATGCGGTGAGGCTGTGAATGCGCGGATTACGCTGTCGCCTCGTTGTGCCGTGGAGGTGTGCACCTCTGTGCCTGTTGCTGTGTGGGGGCTGCAGACTCGCCTGTGCTCAACTC